GACTGAGAAAGAGGGAATAAATAATGTATACTGCATAGAAACAGATGAGGGAGAGAACTGTTTAAAACTGGTATCAGGAAACTTGTGTGTCAGAGTTGCATCCTTTAATCACACCTATTCAATCTTTTCACTGTGTAAATAACCTGAGAAGCTGGATAACCTGTGCTATGCAGAGAACACATTCTTCCTTACTTGCTGAAAATGAAGAGAAAGTCCTTACTGAAGAAGCTCAAAGACCATAACTTTTAATATTGATTAAGCTGTTCTAGAAAGAAAACAAAAATCCTCTTATCTGGACCAATAGCTAACAATATGATAAATGGAAAAAAGACTGAAGCTGTCAGTGATTTCCTTTTATTTGAGTCAACAATCAACACCCTTGGCAAAAAGAAATCAAGAAGTCAAATGACTTGCATTGGGCAAGTCTGTTGTCAAGGATCTCTTTAAAATGCTAAAGAGAAAGGATGTATCTGACCCAAGTCATGTCATTTCTGAATGTCTCATAGACTGACAAAAGAACAAAAAGGTATGTGTTGGAAAAAGTGCAAGCCAGAGTGCTCCTTGGAAGCAAAGACGGTGAAGCTTTTTCTTTCATAGTTTGGACACATAGCTAGGCAAGTCTACTCCTTGGAAAGGGACATCATGTCTGGAAAGATGAAGGGTCAGTGAAGAAGATCCCCAACGAGATGGAATAATAGGATAACTTCAGCAGTGTGTGTCAGATACGATGATGATAGGACAGGATAGGGCAGGGTTCAGGTCGGCTATTGCTGAGTTGTACTTGACTTGATGGCACCTAACAACAATATATACATGAGGGAGTGCTGGTGACTTAGTGGTAAGGAGGTGCACTGCCAACTCAAAGGAACATAGTTTGAATCCACAAGCTGTTCTGTGGGAGAAAGATGGGCAATCTCCTCTTGTGCCGTTTACAGCCTCTGAGAACCCGCTGGAGGGTCAGGTATCAATAAGTTCCAACTCTATGGTGCCCAACAACAAAAAACACATGCATGTGAAAGTTAGATAATGAATAAGGAAGCCTCAGTAAGAATTGTGGTGTTGAAGAATATTGACACTACCATGGACTGCTAAAAGAACAAATCTGTCTTGAAAGCAGCACAGAGTGCTCCTTTGAATCAAGGACTGGTGAGACTGCGGCTCACACTTTTTGGATGTTATCAGGAAAGGTCTAGGAGAGGCTATTCTTTGGAAAAAGATCATGCTTGGAAGGATGGAAGGTCAGTGAAAAAGAGAAAGACTCCAATCAAGATGGATTGACACGGTCACTGTAGCAATGGACTCAAGTTTATCAGAGATGGTGATGGCACAGGACAGGATTCGGATCTGTTGTTGGTAAGATGGCTATGAGTTGTACTTGACTAACAGCAACATCAGGAGAGACCAGTACTTAAAGGAGGACATGGTGCTTGGAAAAGCAGATGGTCAGCAAGAGGGAAAGACTATCACAGAGATGGAATGGCACACCACAGTTGGCCAGAGCTACAGGGTTAAGCACCGCCGAGAACACGAGGAGGCGTGATCATGGTGCAGGCCCAGTCTCCTCTTGTACAGTGTTGCTGATCTGGAGCTTGTTCAACAGCACCTAACAAAAATCTTTTTCTGAGGCTTTAAATTGCCTCATCTTTCTCTGGTGCAGGGGCAGGGGGTTTTTAACTACTGAACATTTGGTTAGCAGCACATTGCTTAATCGACTGCAGCACCAGGACTCCCTTCTAGAACTCAGATAAAACAAAGTCACCTGGTAGTGATTCCGACTCAGTGTAACCCTGTAAGACAGAAGAAAGGCAGGCTTCTGAGGCTGTAATTCTTTTTTTTAAATACTCCTTTTTTAAATTTTTTATTTTATTATTTGTGTGTGTGCGTGTACCGTCAAATCAGATCTGACTGGTACAGGAGGAGATTGTCCTTCCTTCCCCAGCAGAGCACCTGGTGGATTTGAACCGTGCACCTCCAGGATTGCAGTGCAGCTTCTTGCCAGTAGGCCACCAGAGCTCCCCTGAGGCTGTAATTCTTAACAGTAGCAGACGGACTCATCTTTCTCCTATATAGCTGCTAATTAGTTCCAACTGCAGATCTTTCATCTAACAGCCCAACACTTAAACCATTACATCTCTAAGTCTCATTTCTTGAACTAAAGCTAAATAAACAATGTCACCAGAATTCTTGAGTGAAACTAAGAACTGTGTGTGCTTAATCCAATTCACCCAGAAGCAATTTAAAAGCACACGTAGGACCAGATCTCATGTATAATCAGAAATGCCCTTTTGAACTGTCTTCAAAGTTCAACCTTCCTTTGCAGTACTTGTTGACTATCAGTCTTGTGCCGGTATTTAGCCTTAGATGGGAGTTTATCACCTGCTTTGGGCTGCATCCCCAAGCAACCTGACTCCGGGAAAACCCAGACCTGGCATGCTGGGGGCCTCGCTACCGGCCTCACCCTGTTCACATCTGGGCCTCGATAAAGACTTGGGCACCCCACGAGCAGAGCCAGGGAGTGTGCCTGTAAAATTCAAGTTCCAAAGGACTTTTAGACAAACTGTGCTTCCCTATTCCTTACTAATATTTGCTCTTATTTTGCCCTCACCTGTTTTATCTTTCAGAAGGGATAATTCTGAAATTTTATTCATAATGGCACTTCGTGGGTTTTTTCCCTACAACTAAGTAGACTTACCAAGCAGAGTGCAAGGCAGTCTAATGAGCCCTGGACGGCAGGCAGCTCTGGGCTGGCTCCCTCCCTCCTGCACTGGAATCTCTTTGGAGAGCAGGTACAGTAGAGGGGGCTGGTAAGTGTGCCATAGGTGCAGCGCAAAATCCAACACTACTCCCCCGCTAGATGCAGTGCCTTCCTGTTCATCACGAGTTAGGTGATCTCTGAAGCAGTTTGGGCAGCATGTTCTGGTGTACAAAGACCAAGTTGGAAGCCCCAGTGCAGATGGTTATGTGTGTTTAGGGGTGGGGGCAAAGAAAGGTGTTGGTGCTGGGATGGAAGGAGGCATATGCTCTCAGTGGTGTTACAATTAACAATAGAGTGATGTATGGGAGAACTACAAAGAATATTACTTGGGCATACTTGTAATGAAAAAAATTCACTTTGAGAGGTAGAGAGATGTGCTGCCAACCCAAGAGTGCATGGTTCAAATCCACCAACTGTTCCATGGGAGAGAGATAGGTACTCGCCTCCTGTGTAACTTCCAACCCCTGAAAACCTGATGTAAGGCAAGGTCAGTTATGAGTCAGTCCTGACTGAGCAGTAATGAGCTGGAGTTGTTGTTACCTCACAGAAGAAATCTCAATTTTACATTTACCAAACAAAGAGAAGCAAAAGTTATTAGGTTTTTAAAATATAATTTCAACTGCATGTAAGATTGAATGGTTGGGGGAAAACTGTTTAGGAATTATCCCCAATTAAGAGGTTTCTCATTGATGGCAAGTCAAAATTTGAAGATGATATCAATGAAATTATTTGACAAGGCCTTATGCAATTATATATTTCCTCTACATCTTTTATTTTCTCTGGTTCTCTCTATTGGTTTATACCAATATGCTACATAATAAATTCTGTGTTAGAATGTGAATAAAGTTGGAAAGTACTATGCAGACATTGGGTATTATTTGTTTGTCTTTAAGTATCTATTATCCCAAAATGACTTTTAAAAAACATAGCGTATTCCCAAATTTAAGCTTTGCTGCACTAGAATACAATGTTGTTGTTGTGTATTGCCTTCGAGTTGAGCATGACTCATAGTGACCCTATGAACTAAAGGCCACATTTATCAAAGTTCATAGAGTTTTCAGAGGCACGTTATTTAGGAAGTGGATGCCACTCCTGCTTCCAAAGAATACAATAGGAACTAACATATGATTATACACAACATAAGAATTGTTGCATTTTATTTAACACTAAAACTTTTCATGCTTCATATACAATAAAATATATTACAATGATCACTTTTTAATACTTTATTCATTGATTAAAAGAATATACATTTAACATAAACCATACAACATCAGTCATCAGGTCAAACACTCAGCTGGATTCCTTACAGTTTCTGTCAGGAGTTATTTTATCCGATTACATTTATATGATAAAATCTCACCACATCTGGCATTTACACACACTGTGCCAGTGGATTCACACTACTGATGTACATATAAAATACGCATGGTATGTGCTCAGTGGAGACAAAACAGTGCACAGCTGTCAAAAGATCATTTTAATATAAGATGGTAAAACCATTTGTAAAACATATATAAACTTTTTCCATAAATAGAATCATATCTGGACATCTGTTGCATAAATTGTGTTTCCAAAGCTTACAATAGAGCAGCCAGGTCTCAGCACTGCTGAGCACCCATGGTGGCTACTTACTTTATTATTGCAGACTGTCCTTTAACATTAAATGCACAACATTCGTACCATTTAAAACTGGGGTCAGGTGGAAGTCTCACAGAGACCACGTCTGTACCGCGGTTGCCCTGAAACAGTTAAATCGGCTTTTAAAGCCTCTCAGATATAACAAGGTTTTAAAACATACTTCATGGAATGTTCTTCATGTATCATAGCAGCTCATACCTGTGATAGAACAAGCTTTCAGTTTTTCCTTTCTTTCCTTTACATTCACTATTCACAGTGAAACAGGTGCATGGTTTTTTTTTCTTTTTTGTTGTATTTTTTTTTTCAGAGTTCTGAGGTTGCTGACTGAGCCACAGCACAGCTGTGTACCACAGGTCGAAAATCGACCTTAAATATTACAATCTAGCAGTATCTGGCTGGCCAGAGTGGGCCGGCCCCTGCCAGCATGTGGGCACTTCTTCATTTAAGTCTATTCTTTGGCAGCTGACACGCGCGCTGACAGAGAAAAATCCAGTGACTTGTTGCTAGGGATTTCACGACTAATGTTTGTTTGAAAGCATGGTGTTTATGATTCTGTTTTGATTTTCTTTTTGGAGATTTTACTCTGGAATACGTTTCTTCCTCCACCATTTAAAGTATGGGCTAAAAAGCTAACTTGAATGTAAAATTTAATTGATAAATAAAATTAAGTCTGATACAGTAAAAAAAACCCGACAATTTGAGTTTTTATGTTTATGTAAATGCATTTTTTTTAAAAAAAGATTAGGCAATATTCTAACCTAGTACTATACAAAATTCAGAATGGTATTTGGTGATAACTGTTTTATGTGCAATGAAAGTTAAAAATCTTGGCTCTTCTGTTAACTCATGTGGGGTCAAATTATTCTCCCTTCATCCATTTCAAATCAAAATTAATGAAATGCTATCAAAATGCATGAAAGCAATGCATTGCATACAAATTCACCAGGTTATGGATATATATATCTTTATATGTATAAAAAATAATTTGGCTCCTGAGCTCTGAACTCTGACACACAAATAGTAAAAACATCAAAAAGGCAGAGTAACTCAGTGAAAAATAAAGTTAGCCAGCAACCTCAGACAACCTTCGGTTGTATATCCTTAAGGTTTGGTAACAAGTCCATTAACCGTGAAAGCCCTACACATTGTCACTTTGAACTTCTAAACCAATACCTGACTACGTTCTTTGATCAAGAAGTAGAATATACATATATAATTCTATAAAGCTAATACTGATTAAACACAGCACAAAGGGATTAATTCACACTACTGGAAAAAACATAATAGGACCCTACTTGCATATGTAACCACAGGAATTGTACATTTTTTAAAAAGCTAAATGCCTTCACTGAAGCTTTGCATCTCTCTGTAAAAATGACGATTTGGTTCAGTGAAGACACTGAGTGATTCAATGTCCAGGACAGCATACCAGGGTTGACCCAGACCCAGGGACACTTGCTCAATGAGGTTATGCACTGGATCCACATCCTGGTCAGCCAGTTCACCTTGGTCAAAATCAATGCTTTCTTCAGTAACTTCAAGTACTTTAAGATCAGGGCCACGAAGACGAGCAATGGCAATGAGGTTGTGTGCCCACACTGTGTAACCTGAAAAATAAGACAAATATTACCATGTTTTTGCATTTCAGTCCATTTTTTAAAGTTAGTTTTTTTGTACCATTCACTGCTTACATAAAAAAAAAACAACCAACAACCAGTTATCTCACTTACCACCTTAATCTTTGCTTTAAAAAGATATTCAGTCTGGAGAACGAAATATTGTTTAGCTCAAGGAGGGAAAAACTACGGAAATTTAACTTTGCTTTCTAAACTACTACTGTGGTTGATGGATTGTTAAGTGATGTAGTCCTATTCTGAGATCACTGCATTCAGTCAAAGAGAATACAAAGTCTGAAGTGTAATTTTGTAACTCTGCATAGTGATATATCATATGGGACACATTTTTGCTTCATATGTATGCATCTATTAATAATATAAATTGCTCTTTTACATTTGTAAAAAACCATTTCCTATGAAAAATCACAGTCCAATGTCACAAACTAACATTTTCAACTTAAAAGACAATTGTTAACTAAATTGTGAGCAGTAAATATATAAAATATAAAACCATTACGGGAATAAAATGTACCAATTTCAGAATAATGGTTACTTTTGGAAATGAAGAGATTACTTAATAGAAAAACGGGCTAGAAGGCTTTAGCCAAACCTAACAGACTTTAAAAGGAAATAAACAGCATTTTTTAAAAAGGGTGGTTTGGGGTAATTTTTAAATAACTTGGCATTTTTTTTAATTCTGTACAAGATCTTCACTTTATGTACTACCTGGAATATTAGTCTTTGCTAGTACCTCTAAGGAGTTGCCAAATTATAAAGAAGAATTTTAAAAAGATACATTCTCATATACAACTCCACTCTCAATGCCATCATGTCAAGGCTGACTCATACCTGACTCTCCAATGGATTTTTCGAGGCTGTAAATGTCATGGGAGTAAACTGTCCAACTTTTCCCCATGGAACTACTGGTCGATTTGAACAAGCCGCCTTTAGGGTAGCAGTGGAACTTTCTATTGACTATACTACCAGAACTTCGTCCCATGTACAAGTGCTGGCTAAAAATATCATAATTACAAAAGAATAAAATGGAGCTAATATAAGAATTTAAGACATTCATAAATCTTGTTTTATATCTTGTACCTGCCTGCTAAGAATCAGAAAAGGAAAGAAAAATATTTTCTAATTTGTCAGTATAGTAACTTTCTATAACTGAAAATAGTTCACATAAAAAGGCCTCAGTAAGAAATAAGCATTACTTATTTAAGAGAACCATCACTGAAAAAAAACCCAATTATGTAAATTATTATGTGGTTATCTAGAGTTGTGGTGGCTTAGTGGTAAGGAGCTGTGTTGCCAACTCAAAGGCAGGTGGTTCAAATCTACCAGCTGCTGCATGAGAGAAAGATGGATAATCTCTTGTGCAATTTACAGCTTCTGAAAATCCATTACAGGGTCAGCAATGAGTTGGTTTTGAGTTGACAACCCACAAAAACATCTAGAATGTAGAAGATGAGGTAGGTAGGAAGAAACAAAATAATCCAGAATGATTTTCTCTTCTTTCATTAAGGAAAATTATAATTAGAAGAAATGAATTTATTACATCTTTTGAAGGCAGCTAATTGAAAATGCTCTTTTTGTCAAATATTTCCAACTTCATTGTAGAAGGACAAAGTTACAGACAAGCTAAAGTTTAATACCTGTGGCAGAGACATGACTGTTCCATTTGTTCCTGATACTGCATTGTTTTATATACTTTAAATAAGAATAAGAATTGGCATATCAGATTGTCACAAAGATTTCTTGACATTATAAAAGTCACTGATATCTTTTCACTAGCTTAACTCTTTAAAATGTAAGACCAATATTACACAATAATGAACAAAATTACTTACCATGAATTGCCAAAAGGGAGAGCTTAGTGCATCTCCAAGCTAATAAAACCAATGGATCTTCATTTCGGTTGTCACTGAGGTCTGGAAAACCAGATGTATCAATCATATCATTCATTAATATAAAATGCGTAAGGAATTTGTCATACTGCCTGGATATGAGATCAACAATGGCCCCTGAAACACATGTGATGTAGCTGTCAAAATGAATTCTCTCTAGTGGTATGCTGGGTTTCAGAATCTTTAACATATCTTCACTCTTGATATCAAAAGCCATAATATAGACCCGAAGGCCAGAGCTCTTTCGTGACAGGGCTTTCCAATGCTCATCATTTGGCATGTTGTCCAGAGACTTGTGCATCACGGAAACATTGTGGACCAGAAGAGATAGTCGCTGCAAAGGCACATGGTTGTTATCGGTCAAGACTCTTGCCATTTCAGCTGTAAAGTCACAGAAATCCAAAGCAAGTGAGCGCAGATTCACAAATCGCTCCAGTTCAACTGCAGTAATGAGAGTGCTGTTCCCAGGAATATTGTTGTCCAGTAAACTCAGATGCTCCATGGTGTTGGCAATAGCATTTGAGAGAGATGACAGTGATGCTGGGGTTACTATTTCTAGCATAAATTCACAGGACAGCCATTTTAGTCGCCTACTGGTACTTAGTATTTCTTCAAACAGCTGCTGAATTCTGTAAGGAAACATAAGACACAATGATCCCTTTAGGATTTTGTTCTAAATAGGCAATGAATGCCATGCCATGTTGAGACTGATTTTCTTTTTTTTTTATTA